TCATTTTGTTTTATTTTTTCCTCTCTTCCCTTATGCGCCTCCATTTTGTTTCTTCAATTCCACCTATCAGTGAGATCATACGATAATCGTCTTTCTCAGATTGACCTATTTTGCTTACCACAAAATAGACTTTAAAACATAGAGGAACAAGGGCAGCTGTGCACCTCTGAGAAGGGCTAGGTGGGGAGGCAGGTGGCTGTCTGCTAGATGCAGCCACACAGGTCATGTGACCGAGGGGATCCCAAGGGATGCTGGCTCTCTTCCCCTGGCCTGAGCGCCCAGCCAGACCCCAGTTACGGGGTGCTGTTACAGCAGCAAGAACAAGTACTCGGACCAGAACCAGGAGGAGCAGAAGCTGCTGCTGGACCCTAGCAGACGCCCCCCCACCACTGCCAAAGCCCTCAAAGGAGCAGAAGCCAACTACCACAGCCTGCCTCCCCTCGCACAGATAGATGAGCAGGCCCTGCTCTCCTCCAGCCTTGCTAAGACAGCCAGCAACATCACTGACGTGTCTCCTGTGTACATGAGCAGCACGAGTACATGGACCGGGCAAGGCAGTAGGCACCTGCTTGGCTATGCTGAGCAGCAGCCTGACCCACTGAAAGAAGCTGCCATGGCTGCCGTCTCTCACCAGCCAGCCCCACGAAGTGCTGGCCAGCTAGCCCATCCCCTTCCCTGACTCGCAGTAGGTCTCCAGGAGAGCTGCTTATGCCTACAGTGCACTTTCTCAGATCCCTGTAGATGCAAAAGAGGAGCTGGTTGTACAGTTTGGGATCCCATGAGGAGAAGGATCCTTGAACAGCCCTTCTTCTCTCTTTGCCCCATCTCCATCCTGCCTCGGCTGGCCCCAACCTCTCGGGGGCTCACACAGTTCCCTAACGTGCTACTAACCACAGAGAAGAGTGTGGAAGAGTGGAAGCCTGAGCAAATGAGGATGGAGCAAGGGAGGGTAGAACCATTTGGGGTTGGCATTCAAAACCCTGGCCAGGGTTGGGGTGAGGGTCAAAAGTAGTCTTCACTAGCAGTGTCTTCATTGTCACTGGAAAAGTGGAGGTACCACTGTGAGGGTGATCCCTAAGGGGTCTATGGAGCCCTCTTTCTACCTTCCCTTGGTCTCTTCCTACCTTTCCTTGGCCTCACTCCATTCTCCCTCTCCCTTGACTTGGTGCTCACGTGCACCTCACCAGGGTTTGTTACTACAATATTATTGGCTATATTCCCTATGCTGTACATTACATCCCCATGACTTATTTTATAACTGGAATTTTGTACCTCTTTATCCCCTTCATCTATTTTGCCCACCCCAGTCCCTCCCACTCTGTTAACCAACAGTTTTTTCCCCTTTATTTTGAGTCTTTTTTTTTAAGTTTTATTGTGTTATGTTAGTCACCATATAATACCTCATCAGTTTTTGATGTAGAGCTCCAAGATTTCTTGTTTACATATAACACCCAGTGCTCCATGCAATTCTCTTGTTTTTTTTTTCATTCATTTGTTGCATATTCCCTCATTGATGATTTGCTTTTCCCACTTCTATTTTCTCTCTTCTCTCTTGATATTTCAATCTCACTTATTTATACTTTACTTTTTTCACTTACCATATTCTGCTTTTTATTACGATCATGTTATCCACTCATTCAATCAACATGTTGAGGAGGCTTGGAAGTGAGGGTTGTATGAATCTGAGTTTGAAGATGAGTTTTTTGGTTTTTTTTTTTAGATTTATTTGAGAGAGAGTGAGAGAGCATGTATGCCAGAGCACATGAGGCAGAGCAGAGGGAGAAAGAATCTCAAGCAGAATCTCAAGCAGACTCCCTGATGAGCACAGAGCCTGGCCCAGGGCTCAATCCCAGGACCCATGAGATCATGACCTGAGCCAAAACCAAGAGTCAGATGCCCAACTGACTGAGCAACCCATGAGACCCTGAAGTGAGAAGTAATTTTTAAAATTTCATCTCATTTAATCCTTTCAACATTTTAAAGATTTTTTTTTTTTTATCATGCCCTTTGTCGGATGGGGAATCAGAGTTAGGAAATGTTAGGTTACCCGCTCGAAGCCACACAACTAAGAAGATGGGACCAAAACTTGAGACCAGGTCTTCTGACATCATTTCCAGTGTTCCTGTCATTATTCCTTATTAAATTCTTGCAGGATTAGCAAGTAAGAGGTCTTCCTGCTGAATCTCTCTCTCTCTCTCTCTCTCTCTTTTTAAACATGGTAGGTTCTGGTTTGATTATTTAATCTGAAATTGTTTTTTAATTTTTATTAATTTTTTAAAATTTATTTTCTGTGCTCCAGAATTCATTGTTTATGCACCATACCCAGTGCTCCATGCAATACATGCCCTCCATAATACCCACCACCAGGCTCACCCAGCCTCCCACCTCCCTCCCCTCCAAAACCCTCAGTTAGTTTCTCAGAGTCCACAGTCTCTGGGGGAGACTGGGGAAGAAGTTTGTCTTCCCCTCCAATTTCCCCCAACTCCCTCTGCTCTCCATCTTCCCATGTCCTCCATGTTATTCCTTATGCTCCACAAATAAGTGAAACCATATGATGATTGCCTCTCTCTGCTTGACTTATTTCACTCCGCATAATCTCTTCCAGTCCTGTCCATGTTGATGCAAAAGTTGGGTATTCATCCTTTCTGAGGGAGGCATAATACTCCATTGTATATATGGACCATATCTTCTTTATCCATTTGTCCATTGAAACACATCTTGGTTCTTTCCACAGTTTGGTGACTGTGGCCATTGCTGCTATGAACATTGGGGTACAGATGGCCCTTCTTTTCATTATATCTGTATCTTTGGAGTAAATACCCAGTAGCGCAATTGCAGGATCATAGGGTAGCTCTATTTTTAATTTCTGAATGAATCTCCACACTGTTTTCCAAAGTGGCTGCACCAACTTGCATTTCCACCAACAGTATAAGAAGGTTCCCCTTTCTCCACATCCTCTCCAACACATGTTGTTTACTGTCTTGTTAATTTTGGCCATTCTAACTGGTGTAAGGTGGTATCTCAGTATGGTTTTGGTTTGAATCTCCCTGATGGCTAAAGATGACGAACATTTTTTCATGTGTCTGTTAGCCATTTGTATGTCTTCTTTGGAGAAGGGTCTGTTCATGTCTTCTGCCCATTTTTTAACATGATTATCTGTTTTGTGTGTGTTGAGTTTGAGGGTTTCTTTACAGATCTTGGATATCAGCCCTTCGTCTGTACTGTCATTTGCGAATATCTTCTTCCATTCCGTGGGTTGCCTCTTTCTTTTGTTGACTGTTGCCTTTGCTATGCAGAAGCTTTTGATCTTGATGAAGTCCCAAAAGTTCATTTTCGCTTTTGTTTCCTTTGCCTTTGGAGACATATTTCGAAAGAAGTTGCTGTGGCTGATGTCAAAGAGGTTGCTGCCTACGTTATCCTCCAGGATTCTGATGGATTCCTGCCTCACATTGAGATCTTTTATCCATTTCAAGTTTATCTTTGTATATGGTGTAAGAGAATGGTCGAGTTTCATTCTTCTACACTTAGCTGTCCAATTTTCCCAGCACCGTTTATTAAACAGACTTTTTTCCACTGTATATTTTTTCCTGCTTTTAATCTGAATTTGAATGCTTTAATCAGAGCTGCACTTTTCAACCCTCCAAGGTGCCCCACCAATCCCTGTGGTCTAATTCCAGGTTGTTTCCCACATTTAAGTCCTCTTCTTGCACTTTAAGGCTTTTGAGTTTTTGATCCGAAATCATTCCTTAGAGCTCTGTTTTGGAATTCCACTTCAAAAGTCAGGAAGGCTGATGAAGTCACAGCTAGCGCATCCACTAGTCTTACTGTAAGAAATAAATAAATAAAAACCTTGGATTTTCCAAAGGAAGAAACCTTTACCCCTCTAGTTTTTCCTAGCAAATTTTCTTGAGGAAATTTGTAATTATAAATCCTTCCTTTGCCTGTTTTTTAAATTAAAAAAAAAATGTATTTACTGTGGTGCGGGGGTGGGGCTTGGGGTGGCGGGGTGCGGGCTCAGTCCTTAAGCCTCTGCCTTCCGCTCAGGTCACGGGATAGAGCCCCCCCCATCGGGCTCCCTGCCTGCTTCTCTCTCTCCCACTGGCCCTGCTTGTGTTCCCTCTCTCGCTGTGTCTCTCCTTGTCAAATAAATACAATCTTTTAAAAAAAAAATGTATTTACTTATTTGAGAGAGCGAGGGAGCAAAAGCGCAAGCGGGGGTGGGGTGGGGCGCGTGGTGCATGGAGAGAGAAACAAGCAGTCCCCCTCTCCCCCAACTCCCACCTCCCCTCCCCCCAAGGTCTGAGCGTGAGGCAGGGTTCATCCCAGGACCCTAATATCACGACCTGCCCCCACATCAGGTCAGAGGCTTAACCAACTGAGCCATCCAGGCACCCCTCCTCTGTATCTTTTATTTGTACATAATTTTTTTTTCAAAAGCCAAAAAGCTTTTTGTCAGGTACAACTAGATTTGAAAATAGTGGTCCCATTTCCCCTCACTGTAGGAGTTAGCCTACGCTCTTTGCTCCAAGCTTTAAGTATCCTGCTTGTCACAGTTTTATTTTTTCTTCGGATCGTGGCAATTACCTAACACGGGTGGCCATTACAGGGGTGAGATACCGAAGAATGTATACAGCAAACGGTGTTAAGTTCTCTCCCACGAGAACATGCATGGGATGGATTGTATCTGCCCGGCTCTCTAAAAGGGTGAGATTTCGTTCTCTGCAGTCGCATTAGCGGATTGCCTGCGACGCCCCTGCTAATCTGAATAACAGAATTTATTCCCCCCTCCCCCACGAGATGTCAGGAGATTTTGTTGAACTTCTCCTCGCCAATATCAATTTATTTGTGTCTCCGACCTTGACGACCCCCACTCCCAACGGTAAAGTAGGATGATGGTAACCGACTCGTCTCAGCCGGTAGTTCGTGGCGCGGGCGGGGCAAGGGAAGCCGGGAGAACCACGACTCCCAGTATGCCTTGCGCTCCAGGCGCTTCCGACTTCCTCTTCCGGTCGCCGGGCTCCTGAAACCGAAAGTGCTGTGGTTTGGGCGCCGCGCGGAGATTGGTTCACCTTCCCCTGCGCGAGCCCGGGCAGACCCAGGTGGGAAGCCAGAAGAGCCGTGAGACATGAACGGGAGAGTGGATTATTTGGTCACTGAGGAGGAAATCAGTCTTACCAGAGGACCCTCGGGTATGTGCGGCACATGTCGTCTCCGGGCGCAGGGTGCTCGAGGTGATGGCAGAGCAGAAAACTCTCCTGCTGAGCCCGATTCCTTCGGCCTTGGAGCTGGCGGGCCCCAGCCTAGAGGTTCCCCCACAACGCTCTGAGCACGTAGAAGACTATATGGGCATCCATCGTTAGTCCGACCCGGGTCTGAGGAACCCACCCCATTTTTCAGTCGGCTTATCACCTGTATTCTATCTAGTCAGGAAGGTTTTCTTTCGCGCGCTGATAGTGCTAGAAAGTTCTGCCCCAGAGCCTGCTTTTTAAACACCACTCCCCTCCCTCCCGTTGCCTGCCTAATCCCTGTTCCTGTGAGAGAGACTGTTCGGTAAAAACAGGAGCGTAAACGGTGTTGACTGTAAATGCATAGCCGTTTTCTTGGTGCTAGCATCACCCCTCCCGCCTTCTTTCCGTTTTGGGGAAATTCATTTAGAATGTCAGCTGGAATGCTAAAACGGAAAGAAACCTTAGAGATTTGCTACAGCACTTTTCAGACCTGGTTGTGCCTCAAAATGACCCAGGGTTTCTCGGTTTTTCTTAAAAAAATGTTAATTCCAAATAATTTTTTAAGTTCATTCCTAGGTCCCATCTCTAGGAATTTGGATTCAGTGCAGATTTTTGTTTTTGTTTTTGTTTTTAAACAAGCACATCCTGTGATTCCGATACCGCTAAATCCTCACTTAGCCTTTAGTCATCTTTCCCCTAGAACCACCCTCCCCCCCTCCGTTTCCGCCAGCGCTTTCTCTCGAGTGGGCTCTTAACGCTGTTCAAGGTCAGCCTGCCTTGGTTTTTGTTGCCTCCCCTTTACAGCTGTCTAGTGTATGGATTAAGAGCTTTAGCGTTGGGATTATGTAGATCCATCTGGTATCCAACCTCTTACTAGAACTTTGACACTGATTGTCTGACTACTTTATTGATATAAACTAAGCCTTAGTTTCTCATCTGTAAAATGTGCATGATAGTAGACTATACTTCAAAACGTTCAGAACATTGCCTGACACCTGGAAAGCCCTGTGTGTTTGCTACTATTGTTGTTATTCTTGATAGAGGAATAGATAGATGAGCACAGTAAATCCTACTAAATAACTTTTTCCAAGAGTCTTCAATAGGTCATCAAGTACTCAGAGCTCTAGTTCTGAAATGTTTCTGTAAATCTCCCGCAGCTTTCCGCAACCCCGCTCGAATCTTCACTACCTAAGACAGCCCATCATCTGTGGAATTTTGCAATATCTTGACCACTGCTTACAGACTATTCTTCATAAAATATAGCTTTCAGAGTCATTCGTACTTTGTGTTTTTTTCCTAGTTATATCAGACTGGAAGTCAGCTTTACTTACAGAAAAGTAACTCATTCTAACCTGCATGATTTAGTGTCATACTTCATAGAAGCTCCTAAACGTTTTTTGAATGCTCATTCAAAATGCCCAGTTCTTTTAGATTCATTTTTCCTACTTTATGTAAATTTCTCCTTCTCTCCCTCTTAGTATTTATTGACTTTTGAGGCCAGTATGATAAAGTGTTGCTAACCCCAAAATCTGCTTTTCTGTACTTCTCATCCATTGGTACTTGTTCCTAGGGCCAGTTAAAACAATGCTAGTTCCTTTTCTGATTGTCCCACAAGTATTTAAAGTTGTTCTGCTCCCATTTTGTCTCTCGTCTGTAGCATAGGCATCCCTCATTATTATATCAGCTGCCTTGATGTGATTTGGAATTTGATTCTTGCCCGTTAAGAATTTAACGTAGTTTGATGTGGTTCTTTTGCTGTGGCATCCGCAATATTTCCAGGATCTCCTGGCTATAGCAGAGGAGAACTCTGATACTATTTTGTGTGTTTAAGTCACTGAATATTTTTTTTTAAAGTTCAAAGTAATATCACATTTTTTGGTGTTTGCATAGCAGGGTTGACAAATGTTCAGCTCACTGTTTGCTAAAATTTTCTGATCCTGTTGATCTTGCAGACTGAAAGTTCCTGGTGTTGACATTTTTCTGAATCATTGGAGTTAGGACAAACTTCAAGGTACTAATTAAGAAAAATAATTATATCTAGCTAATATATTTCCCCCCAAAGTACTTTAGTTTCTATAGTATATATGCATTTATTCACAATGAGTATTTATTCATCAGGTGACTCCATTAATTTTCCTAAGTATGTTCATGTCTTAACGCATATAAATTGATAAACTTAAGTTTTAGGAAAGTAGAGCCCCAAGCTTAGGATTGAACTGGGATAAAAACAGTCATTTCATTTAGGATTGAACTGGGATAAAAACAGTCATTTGACGTTTGGTTGTTTCAGTTAACAAGAGAATGTTTCAAGTTTCTGTTTTTCGCCTCTCAGAACTAGTTACCTGGTATGTTGTACGTCTAGGAAGTCTCACATTCTGATTCAGCTTTTCTTCGCTGTGTCATCATGAAGACACACAGGGAAGAAGTCATTTATCCCAGTAACTTTGATAGGCTCATAGAGATCTTTTGCTCTGCAGAAGAAATATGAAAAGCCTCTAGTTCGAATATGCATTTCTGTATGTAGGCAACATTGTCACTCTTTTTGTACAACTTCCTGTGCAGAGACCTGAAAGTTTAATCAGCTAACAGCAAAAAATGTATATTCTCTTGCACTTTTGTGCCAGTGTTCTCTCAAGGGCAAGAGTGTTGGGATATTTTCAGTGTTTGGGCCCATTTTGCAAGGTAAATGAACTTACTCTGTCTGATCATGCTTACTGCAAGGGAACGAATGAAATCTTGGGGAAGTTATAACGAAGAAGTGAGTATCTGAGGAGGCAGAAAGAAGCTTGGCATATAGCTTGGCATCTCACCTGTTCCTTCTTCCTCAACTGTTTTAAGGCAACACTTAGGCTGGATGACTTTGGCGGTGTCTTCCACTTACTTCCAAGAGTTGATGATTTTTGGGGGGAACGGGGGACATTCCACATGTGTTCCTTATAATTCCTGCCATTTTGGACTGACAGTGGGTGATCTGAAGAATTGTCAGAGGCAGTGGTCAGAATTTTAAATGGCTTCAAAGACTTGAAGAGTTCACCTTTTATTCTTTATGGAATACTGTTGATTTTTTTTTTCCCCCTGTGGGAGCTCAGCTTGGTTACAGTCTCTAAAGCCTCCCACATTGTTCTTCATTAAATTAAGAGTTCTTAATTTTGAAAAGACCCAGTTACTCTAAGAAGTATCACAAGAATCTAATCTAGCTCACCCCCTCCACCCCCTACCCCCAGCCCCATTGTAACAGATAGAGATTGGCCATAAAGACAGCCTTGTGACCCACTGGGTGTTAACATTAGGATTCCTTGTTCAGGGCTGAGGCCTCAGTGGGTTTCAGCAGGTTGCTCCTGATATATTATCTTTAAAGAAGGAAGAGAATCTCTATTTTTCTACCTTTTTTTGCAGAGGATACTGCTTTGGTATGGTGTTTTAATAATGAATAATTAGTGGGGTATTATATTTCTGATACTATGCTTATTACTTTATATATTAACTCATTTAATCTTCACAGCAACCATGAGTGCTAAGTGATTCATCCACTTTATTAGATGAGGAAATATCTCTCAGAGAGGTTAGGGATTTGTCCAAGTTCTAAAGCCAGTGAGTTCAACCTAGATCTGTTGATTCTACTATTCCATATGTTGCTTCCAATATAGTAGCCATGTCTAAGGAGTTGATTCCCAGCCTTTCTCCTAGCCTTTATTTGATTATATCATGCCTTAAGGATTTGAGGCATCTTAGAAAACTTGCACAGTCCACAGTGGAAAGTTTTTATAGTTTGCTGTTGGTAGAGCTGAGGGCATTTCAAGGGAGAACCTAAAAACAGGAAACCTCATTAAGTCCAAGCATTTAAGTCTCTACAGATTGGTCATGCACTTTGCATTTGACCTTGAGACTGTTGTTAAGTTTTCTGAACTGTTCATTCATGTACCAAATAGATCTGAGACTAAGGTGCTATGTCTTTGCCCTATTTTCTCTTGCTTGCCTGAAGTCTTTCCCTTAAGAATTTACATTCCAATGGAGACATTACATTTACATCTGAAAAGTGAAATCTCAGTGCAAAGGATTAAGGACTATGATGAGCCTGTATGTTGTCATAGGGCAAGGGAAGTGTGGTGGGGAGTGTGTTAATCTCACCTTGTGCAGGACAAGTTCAAAGAATGGAGCCATTGATAAGGGCCAAACCCATCAATTTCAAGAAGGTGGAATTTATGTTGGACTTCTGTCTGTAGGTGAGTGCCAGGCACAGGGAAGGGAATGACCTGTGTAGTAATAGAAAAGAGAAAATTAGTAAAGCATATTCTGAGGTCAGTGAGTACACCAGCCTGGGTAGAAGGGAGGGTTCATTTAGGAGAGTTAAGGGAGATGAGGTTGCTGAGGTTGTTAGACAAGTTCTTAATGCTAGTGTGGAAACTTAACCTTTCTCTAAGGTTCCGTCTTGATTCCTTTCCCTTCCTGTTCATTGATTAAGACTGAATTCAAAAACCTTCTCCAGGAAGCCGTATATAGGCTAGCTGCCTCCTTGTTACGTATACCATACACCATTTATTGAATGCTTGTCATGTATTGCTAAACTAAGCACTTTGTCTCTTGTACTCCCAACAAGGAACAGTTGAAATGGTTATTAGACCATTGTACAAATGAGAAAACCTTGACTCTTATGTCACACATTTCTTTAAGAGGTAGTGTTAAGAATCAGATGCAAGTCCGTGTGACTTAAAAACCCAGATTGTGAACCATCATACAAAGTTTTTGTTCTCTTTAGGCTCCAACTGGACCCTGTACATATCTCTGTCTTAGTGTTTATTTCTGTATTTGCTTCCTTACTTGTGTCTCCTCCCTCTATGAGCTCTTCTGATTCAAAAGATATATATCCTTCGTCTTTTGTTTTCCTAATGTCTTGCTGGGTATGACACAAAGTGGTGGGTAAGTGTTCATGAAATGACTAGGAAGACATAAATGTCGGGAAA